AAAGGTGGATCTGGCGGAACGGCCTTATTTCGTTGCCACCAAGATCGCTGGGCTGAATCTAAATTTTTCATTGGTGTTACTTTAGAATATTTGTATATCAAGCTAAACTGACCACGGTAACACATTTGGATGCCAAAATGGCAGGTTATATAATGCAACACAGCATTAATTTGTCTCAAAAGCCTAAAATACCATTTTTATAGTTGCAATCGAAAGAAAATACATACTAGCAGAGTGGTAATAAAACTAATCCATCCTTTCTGACTAATAGAGAGTAGAGTGATCATACTTGATTCTCTCACACTACAAGACGTCAATCACACGTGAGAACGAGTTTTCATTAAAATTTAGACTGTGGTGTAATTTTTATATGGGTTTCTCAAATAATTCTGGATGGGATGTAATGCTTAATTGTGAGTGTTCTGAAGCAAACCGGGTCCAAAAATATTATTTGTAAAAATGGCAGGGAATTAAGAGAGTTCAGGTTTTTCAAGAAATAAATTGAATGTTGGAAAACTCAACATTTTTTGATAAAGCCAATGTTTTGCACTATAGGAAGTGATTTCGTGACCTATTTGCAACTGCAAGATTACCCAATTTCTGGAACAACGTGTGTGTGTCGACCATCGTTTTTTGACCACTTGTGGTATCAGCGTTGCCAACTCTAGGCTATAAGATTTCGTTTTCGGGGAATACGAAATCTGGGGAATTAAATTTCTTTGGAAGGGTGATGTCACGTTCAAGATTGAGTAACTCTGTTTTCGGAAGTAACTCTGACAAGTGCTTCAAAATTACGGATAATTTTTCATGAAAGCGTGTTTTCATATTTTCATATTAACGGCGCTTTTAACAAAATATGAAAATCACCGAATGCGGTTTTTTACTGGCAACATGCTTTAATGGAAAATTATCAGGTTTATTTTGATGCACGAGTGCAATTCGGTAGAATATTTCCCGAATTGAAAGAGCAAAAGTATACGAGTATTTATGCATATCAAGATGACAAATGCACATTTCATCAATCGTAACTATAGTTACCGACCTATAGGGAAAGTTTAGATACCTATTGAGCAATTGCCACTGACTATTTCCCTTGTCTTAATTTCTACCAATCACAAATGCGCAATTTTGAATTACAAATGGTTTCTAAATGGAAAAATTGTATGACAGCTCCTGTCAGCAGTTTTTTCGAGTTTACCCGCGGCAAAAATTGACAGTTCCACCAAAAATTACAATAATCAAATTCAAGCGGATAACCAAATGGAAATGGTATTTACCATTTTGGGTTGGTATTTACCAATCCGTTCAAGCGAGTGTATATAGTTATCACTTTGGTTATAAGATCCGTGACGTCACGAATCAGCTGTTATATGTCATAGTTATCACCGCAAAATTGTGGTATTTACCCAACTCAAGAGTAGTTTTATATTTCTGGTTATTATTTGAAATGTGACAAGTTACAATTTTGCCGAGTATTGGATATTATTAGTGTATTTAGCTTCATTTTTGGGAAACTTGATTGAGCCTGACTTCAGTTTTACCATAAAGTGGAGCACCTTATTAGTTATACTCATTACGGAAGTTGGGGGCACTTTAAATGTAGTTCCTATGCTTAACAAAGTATCCTGTGTAGCCATATACCACAAGAATATTAAAATACGGCCATATAAACTCACTCGATGATATCCACCTGTATACGGTTTTGCTAATTTCTTTTGTCATCATTTCTGCTGAATCAATAAATGTTTTCTTTGACATGCGGAAAAATTTAGAGAATTGAAAGTTATCATAGCTACAAAGCCATGGTTCGATCATTAAAAAAAAATCTGAAAAAAAACATTTCTCCCATAAATATTATGAAAGGTTTCTTATTCAAACTTTCCATACACAGTTGTAGACGAAAAAGCACCGATTATTAAGTGATAATAAAAATAATCAGAGATTATATGCGCGCTTTTCTAAAATAAACAACTTGCAACAAAACCGCGGTTAAAACCAACGCGTTCAAGCGATTCGTGTAACTGACATCATCAACCCGTGTGTCATCTTGAACCATATTATAACCGCGGCACATAACACAGAAATTTTGGTTATTCGCTTGGATTTGATTAATATCTTTGATAACAGGTAATTATGGTCTCCTAGGACACCAGAAAACGAAACTAAACAATTGTTCTGATTTTATGGTCTATAAATTTTGTAATATCCTTTTTAAACGGTACTAGGCAGCTTATCTAGTGAAAATGAGTCGCTTTGGAAGTGATTCTTTGACTAATATTGATCTGGCGATTGAGAAAAGTGTGTACAATACCGTTAAAACCCATACGTCAATATGAAAACAGTTTACGAAATTCTGCAAGGCAAAGAAATGCGAGATTTTGGAAACTACAAGTCTAGAACAACTAAACCTAATCCTGAAAGATTGGGCGTGGAATACGAAGAAAGAAAACGGTGAAAATTACAAAGAACTAGTTGTGAAGACAATGTGGAATACCGTTGCAAAAAAGTGCAAGAGATACATTTTATGAAGTGGAAAATAATTTTTTATACATTTAAAGATATTATCTTTAAGTCTAGTAGAGAAGCACGTAATGCGAAAAGAAGGAATTCGCAGATGTGCGCCAATAAAAGTAAATCGAGCTCTGCTTCATTAAAATTGGAAGAATATCACGCAATGATTTTACTATAGGACGAAGACACTCTGGCGGGACTCCAGCGAAAATGTACCATATTGCTTCAGGAGAACTCGGCAGTCGATTGCAGAGTTCATTATTTTAAAGAGGAAGTGGATAATTCTGGGATTAAAACAGGTAGATAACATAGTTACATATTTTTCAAAATAACTAATTTTCAAAAATCCTACTTTTTAGGAAGAGTAGAATATAATCATCTCTTCAATAGAACGGCATAGTGTGGAGAAAAAAATGGCAGTTAGAGAATGGCTGGTCTCCAACACGAAGAATCATACCTTTTTTTTCAGTCCGTCTTTTTTTAAAACTCTAATGGATAAACGTTCATCTACGTTTATAACGTATATAACAACTGATAGATTATTCTTAACAGTAAACTCACCATGGAACAAAGAACAATAAAGTGGATGGTACAAAAGCAATCTAGTAGGAAAACAAGAACTTGCGAAATGGACTAAAGAAGTAGTAGAGAAGGCAGGATTAAATACACAAGAAATAAAAATAATAATCATTTCTATGCGGTCGACAGCAGTCAGTTATCTGGCTAAAGCGGGAATGGGTGAACAACAATTAATTAAAATTACTGGCCACAGTTCAGCCAATTCAATTAAGCCTTATCTGCAAATTGATAATGAGGATTATTCCAACATCATAAACACCCTTGTGATGCCTCAGAAGCTCTAGGTAAAAAACAGAAAACAGAAGATCCTGCAGCCAGTCCTCGAGCACTCCACAGCTGGACCCATCAACAACATTAATGATTCACCTACACCCAACGTTATTAATGAGTTAACAACAATTTCACATAACACTCCTACTATGTACCAAAATTGCAATTATATTTTAATTGTACCATAAATAATGAAGTTTGTAGTATTTTGTGGTTAAATAAATTGCCGGTTTTTCAATTTTCAAATTAATACCTATTGACCAGCTGTATTTGTGCCAGATCAAGTCTTCGGAGATCTGGACTCTAACCAGCCAAAATAAACGGCTCTTTGGTAGACCTCGACCATCCATCGAAACCGCATGAGCGATAGGACGTTTCTCGTTCGTCAAGGTATAGTACTGTGTTTTGGAAGTATTAAACTGTACAAGATTGTTGCGTCCCCATGCAGTGATAAATTTCAGGTCTCTAGTCAGATATGAAGTCGCTGCTGGTCTTCTTTTCTCGAGCTCACCGGCAGAGATCAGCTTGTCACTATAAATTCCTGCCTATAAAGAGCTGTCATCAGCAAAGCTATGGATTGGATTGGTCGTACAGAAAAGGAGGTCATTGATATTTAAGAGGAACAGCGTTTGAGCCAACACCGATCCCTAGGGGACACTCGCGTTGACGTTGGGGGATGAATAGGAGAACCCGTCCATTAAGGCTGCTACACACAGTGCCGGCATATTAAATACCTCCCATGATAAAACAATCATATTTCCTTCTATTTATAGATAGACTCGCAAAAAAGTCAGCAAGATAATGCAACAGCGACTAGTTCCCGGAAAAGGAGATGCGGTACTGATGGAGACAGTGATATTGCCGGAGCTCTGCAAGTTTTAAAAAATATGTCAGCTTGGTCATATGCTCGCGACGATGCCTCGGTATTTGGAGAATACATAGCAAGTAAAATACGAAAAATGGATACTATGACAATATCTACAGGACAATATCATATTCAAAATATAATTTACCAGGCTGGAATGGGCGTTTACTCAAGACCTTCCAGGGTGGAGGCAGCTCAAGGATATTTTACCACTTCGTACACCTGCCACTAGCCATTCTAATTACACCGTCAATTCTGATACTTAGGACAGCCTTTTTTCATATTTGGAAAATAATTAAAACTCTTTTAAATTTATGATGCTACATTAGGGATTTAATAATTAAAACTATTATTGCAAATTGTGATTGATAGTGAGATTAGTGGGGCTACACAGATTAACAAAATGTTACCTAATCAAAGTTATACAAAATATGTTTGATTTATGGAATGTAATTTTGCCATCGAAGTTGTCCTTGCTATGAAAGAAAATAGTTCATCAACTCATTTCTGACCATTGAAGGTTCCAAATTTCGATTTATTTCAATATTTGGTGCCGGTATCGTTATCATATTATCCTCAACATCAACGTCATTTCTTCGGATAAAATTTTGTAGGCATACACAAGCCATTACCACAATTTTCATTTTCTCTGGCTGTAAATTAGCCATTGAATGAAATATTCTGAATTTTTCCGATAATATGCCAAAAGCATTTTTCACGACTCTCATTCCCCTACAAAATCTGTAGTTGCATATTCTTTTCGGAGATCCTCGCTCATGTTGTCCAGGAAATGGTTTCATTAAGTTAGGAGAAATCGGAAAAGCATCATCACCCAGGAAATAAAATGGTACATTCATTGTCCGTCCAGGTAAAGGTCTTGGTGTCGGTAGATTTACAGATTCATTTTGCTATGCTTCGGGGAGCTATTTCTAAAAACACCCTCATACGAGACTCTTCCTTGACAACCAATATCGACGAATAAAAAATTATAATTAGCATCGACTAATGTCAACAACACAATACTGAAATACGATTTATAATTGAAAAATTATACGTATGTGTTTCCCATCAATAGATCCACAACAATTGGGAACATTCCATTTCTTGAAAAACAAACGTGAGACCGAAAGCCATTCTTCTTCTGTGGTCGGCATCTAGAAGAATAAAAGGAAATAAAAATTAATTTAAAATAAATTAAAAAAAAATAAAACATACTTATATACTGACATATACGTAACCTATATAATAACATATTCTTTAGCGTAAGTGCTTGAAGGCCTTAATGTAATGTTATACTCAAATTTTATTCAATCCGGCAATATCACATACATTCTGTCCATATCATAAATAAAAATAAAATAAATAAATAAAAAAATATATTTGGTCAATAGAGGACAAATATACATTAGGTTATGGTGTTCTCTAGCTTAACCTCTAGGATTTCCTGTGAGTGAGCTTCCCTGTGACTATCAAGAGTGAGTCATTAAAAAATATATATTTACCTTGATTTGAAATTTTGATATAAGTGCTTCACAGACTTCGGGAATCAGTGAGGAAAGAAGTTGTGGTGAAATTTTTAACAGTTCTCCAAGACTGAAATAACTTTCTCCTGTAGCTAAAAACCGCAACGTTACTGCCAATCTTTCCTTAGCGGGTTCAGCCTTTCTCCAGCCAGTATTTTTTTGCTAATGTACACTTCAGTACTATCTAGCAAAAATTCAAAATCTCCATATGATATTCTCAGAAACCCAAAAAACGTGCTATTGCGCAAACGCGGACACCCCACATCATCTTTTTTATACTCTTCTATCATTACAGTACCGTTCCGCCATTTTCTATTTTGTAAACTTGCGCGCACCCAAAACCTTCTCGTCCTTTTGTATTTTTTTCTTATTAAAATAAAAATTACAACTGCAGCGGCTGTGCTGATGATTTCTTTATTCATTTTAACCAACCAACCATAAAATGTGCTTGGCGGCTTTGCGCGGCTTGTGCTGGCGGCTTGTATTGCCGGCGGCATAGCCGCCGGCACTGTGTGTAGCAGCCTTTAGGACGGATATCTTGCAGCCAGAGAGAAAGTAATAATAATAATAATCATGATAATAAAACGTCTTTATTTTGCTAAGTTTAGCATAAGCTATTCTACCACTTACCCCGTAAAATGTCCATCAAAAAAAATATATACCAACCACTAAAATGCAGAGTTTCAACATAAAAAATAAATTAATTGAGTAAAACACAGGTAAATCAAGATTGGATAAAAGTATAACATTATACATACATATTGATGCATATATTATAAGCAGAAGTAAGAGATAAATTTATGTAAATGATTGCTCTAAAATTATTTTTCTTGATTTTTGAAATTCTTGAAATTTAAAGCTTTAGTATCAGAGGGTAAAGCATTATACATGATAGTAGCATTATAAGTAAAACATTTAGTGGAAAATGAAGTTCTGTAAGGAGCAATTGTTATTGTATCAATATAGCGAATATCTCGAAATTTTAACTTACCTTTCAAAAATGAGGGAATTGAGGTAAGTAAAAGCTTGTGAATATAATATAGTAAATGCAATTTAAATAAATTCCAATTTTATGAACGAGGGGGTAAGGTGGTCATCAGTGGCGACGCGTGACTTTTCCTAAACTGTTACTAAAAAAAGTTTATTTTGAACCTCCTAAATATAAGTTTTTGCTTATTGTAAGTATTTTATTTAAACTATTTTTAAATCAAGGTAAACATTCTTGGACTGAGCATCTGGGGCACTTGATATACCTCATCGTCTTACGCTATGACTAATCCAAGCCGTCCGAAAAAACAGTCGACGTTTCTAGATGTTCGGAAAATGTTTGATCTTTTTTGGCAATGAATGTTAACAATTTCCTTGTAATTTCCTCTTTTGTCAGAGTGATCCCCTTCAAAATGAACGGTAATTCCTGTTTTGCCTAAAAACATACGGTATCTAGAAGTGTGCTGCCTAAAAGCTTGGTTAAGGCAACTTTCGATTCTTGTTTTGCCAAACTGAATTAAATTGGCTACACATCTCACATGTAACGGAGGAATTTCATGTCTCCACTTTAGAGCCCTAAAACTATTTAAATCGTTGACTCCGCTGCTGGTTCACCCATTTTTTCTGTTTTAAACAGAAGACATAGCCAACAATACAATCTGTTTTTTTGCAACCACATAACCAAGAGTTTCCATACACCAACTTAATTTAAAATATCAAACTACGTTTTTTTATTCCTTTTTAAAATTATCTCAAATAGGTGTTGGTCTTCCATTTTCAAAGATCTCCTTTTTTTTCTTAAAAATTATACAAGGAGAATAACTTTTCAAGTAGTTGATCGATTACGCAGCGACACTCATCCATGTTTAATTGCACGCACACTACAGCCAGTAACCAAAACGGCTACTAACGAGTGAGAAGTGAGTAACCAAATCAAAAAATGGTAACAAGTCCACATAATAGTCGCAGCGCCTCACGCACTCGGGCAGCCGCGATCAGACACGCGCCGGTACCGGCGGTCCCCGACGGACTACAAAGTGTATCCATAACTGAAAATGGTAACAACCGACAACCAAGTCAAGGCGAGTCAGCTCCATCGTGTTCGCAAAACCTAGACACTATAGGGCAGATTATTTTCGTGGGGCTAATTTGCTATTTACTGAATTACTATTACATATCGCTGTTGGTAAACAAATAAATGAAATTATTTCACAGTAGTTAGCCATAAAATATTTATTTTTAAGATTTTTAACTGTTACCAATGGTAACAATGGTTACATGGACGCTTCGCCACTGGTGGTCATATTTTTTCAAGTTACAGATTAATCTGCAACATGAATTTTGAATTTTTGTAAGCGCTTGACAGATACTGAATCTAAAATGGATGATAAACAATGTGTGTAATTTTTGAAATAATGACTCACAGAGAATTGTTTTAGTTTTGTAATCGAGAATATGTTTGTTCAAGTATAATTGCCGTAGTATTAAAATACAACTTTTTGTAACATGGTTCACATGAGGAATAAAATTCAGACATTCATCAAGAGATATGCCTAGATTTTTTACAGTTTCACATACTTTTATAATCTCATCATTTAATGATATTGTCGAATATTTCTTAAATTGATTTCAGAATTTTTTAGGAGTGAATATAATTACTTTTGATTTTTCTCAATTTAATTTAAGATTATGAATTTTTGCATACTTGTCGATAGACCTCAACTCAAGTCTTCATTAATTTGAGCCTCAGCAATAATTATATTGTCAGTATTAAAGTTATTGTAAAACTGCGAATCATCTTTAAAAAAACTAAATATTGCAGTGTTTAATAGCCTTATCAAGATCGGAGATATATAAAATAAAAAGAAGTGGCCCAAGAACCGACCCTTGAGGCACTCCCGATGAAATTAAAGCCTCAGGAGAAGTGTTCATATCGATGACAACTCTTTGTGGCCTATTCTTTAAAAAGCTGTTTATTAGAGCAACTGATGTTTCAGAGAAACCATAAAATTTACATTTGGCTAGTAAGAGTGAATGGCTGATGGTGTCAAACGCTTTAGAAAAATCTAAAAGAATTAAGGAAGTAGTTTGACGGTTATCCCAAGCCCTGACAATATTGTCAGTTAGATCTAACAATGCTGCAGCAGTATTATATCCCTTCCTAAAACCGCATTGTCTAGATGGTAGTATAGCACATTTCAAAACATATTCATTTATTTGTGTATACATTGCCTTTTCCAACAATTTGGAAAGTATAGGCAATATGCTAATAGACCTCAGGTCAGTATATGGGCTAGGATTACCTACTTTGAACAACGGTAAAACAAGAGAGCTTTTCCAAATATACTTTTTTCTAAGCATTTATTTATATGTAATATATGTATTGAAATTAGGGGAAAACATAATTTAAGCATTTCAAGTGATACTCTGTCAGTTCCAAATGCATTGGATTTTAAGGTATAAAATATTGAGCGTAAATCTGAATAATTTATTGGACAGATACTGAATTTATGGCTATAAACATAATTATTTTCATAGAAAGAGATCTTTTCTGAACAGGGATGAATGTTGTTGTTGAAAACAGAACAAAAATATTTGTTTATTTCTGTAGGATCTTTGAGATGGGTGGGAATCTCGCTATTTTTAGATTTTTGTATACGCATTAATTTGAGAGCTTTATAAAAATTCGCAGAATCATTCTGTTCACTAAGGAATCTTATAAGCTGCCTTTTCGAATCTAATTTTTTCTAAGGTTGAGTTCCATAATATTTTGTAAAATTTCCATGATTCCTCTGATCCATCACATCTAAATTGAGTAAGTGCTTTGTTTTTCCTCTTAATTAAAACTTTCACATGTGGCGTTAACCACGGGCAAACGGCTTATTGACTCGCACAATTTTTAAGGGTGCATGAATATCAAAAGTAGACAATACCATGAGTCAAATATGATACCTTCTGGTTAATGTCATCTAACTCGAATAATTTATCCCAAGGAAAGTTACTGAGATAATTTTCCATATTAAAATTTTTGAAATCCCGATAACTGATAAATTTTTGTTTAGGTTTTGCACTATTAAAGATTGTTTCGCAAAACACCAAGTGATGATCTGTAAATAAGTGTGTATATACTGTTCCAGCATTAATGCAAATTCCAGAGTCACTCAAAAATATAGGATCAAGTTAGCTACTGCAGTTCTCCGTAATCCTAGAGGGTTCATTTATAACCTGGTGGAAGCCATATATTTTAAAACAGTTGTCTAATTTATTATTGGCGTCCAAAAGGTTTACATTCATGTCACCGACAACAATAATTTGATCAAATTTCGGCATAACGAATGTCAAAATATTTTCAAAATAATCAATAGCTTTATTAAGATTGGTATTTGGAGGTCGGTAGATCACCCCAAAAACTAGACTCAAACCACTAATTTTTAATTTTATCCATAAAGTCTCAACCTCTGGTATATACTGCACGTATTCCTCGATTTTTAACTCCTCACAAATTAAATCATTTCTTACATAAACGCCTACTCCACCACCAAGGCTGCCTCTATCTTTACGAAATAATGAATAGCCTTCAATATTCAACAGATTATCTTGAATGCTATTGTTAAGCCATGTTTCAGAAATACCTAAAATATCAAACAGAATTTTGCAAGATAAAAGAAATGTCAAAGAAGGTATAAGAGATCGAATATTTATCTGGCCAAATTTAAATCTTTTCATGCTAGTACTAGACATGTTTCAAATTATTCTTTCAAAATAAGATTCGAGATGTATGCTCTCTTTGGAAGAAACTGAAAACTGGGCAATTTTTATTTGTGGTGCATGGTTAATATCATAGTCTTTATTACCTATATTTTTTGTTTGCAAATATACAACTAGAACATACATGATCTAATTGTGTCCATGATGTACTATCATGATTGTCCCCACGTTTTAGGCAAACCTTTTGATTACTACATTAATTTATTTTTCGAATGATGGAACCTGAAGCAGTTTGTACATTGGGAGATTTCATTATTTTGATATACTGTTATGCTCTGAAAGCCAATAAATATTTTGCCATTATTACCATCAAAAATTTGTTTGAAAAATCTACCAGAAACCTCTGCATATACAATATACATGCTTTTCAAGGTAATATACTTGACATGGTTAATTTTGATGTCTTCTTGGGATATGCCGTGATTTTGTCGAATGATATCAGCCTCCAGGTCGGTTTCAGTAATTTTTTCATGACTGCGATAACCAACTATTTTTATTTATGGCATCAACATCTTTGATTCTGACACTCTGTAAACTGAAGATAATTCTTTTTCAATTTATTTCTTCAGTATACCATGGAAACACTCTTCAACATTTATTTCAACTCCTCCATTCTTAGAGTTCTTTACTTGTTCAACTTTTATATTCATTTTGGACAGATGCAATTTTTTATTGAGGTCATTCCTGGTTTGAAAAGAAGACTAATCTTGATTTGAAATAATTATAATACTTTTTATCGATCCTTGTTTGGTTTTCAAAGGAGTATTATTGAATACTGGCTAAGCATATGGAATACGTTTTGTAGTATTAACTTTTTCAATCTATTCAATTCTGGAGTTCCGTTTCTCGAGAGCAGAAGTAATAGACTCCTTTTCAATGATGTGACACGTTAACGAATCATACTGCTGTTGAAATCTTCTATTCTCATTTGTCAGTTGATGAATTATTTTATGCTTTTCGGTAAGCAACATTTCGTAAAGTGACAATTTATCAACTTGTTTAACCTTTTGTCTCAGTTGTTCATTAATTCTTTCCAAATATTCACAATCTTTTGAAGTTTTCTTCTTAGAATTGACCGAAGTTTTTACATCTTCAATAGCAGTGGTTTCACTATCTTCATCAGTTTTGTTTTTCTTCTTGCTCATATTGTACACCCAGTGTGATAGTTAGGATTATATCATTTAGGTAAGTGGCAAAAATGTCAGAGCAATCTTAAAATTTCCGTTAATACAAAATGGCTGAAAATGATTTCTGTCTTTCATACCGTCTCTCCTTCAAGAATACGTTTGCAGCCTAACCTCCGAAGTAATTCTATTGAGCAGCGGGAAATTTTCTTTCACAAAATCAGCAAAATATGGTGAATAAGGTGGGAGAGGTGAGTATCTACTTGTAAAACTTCTCAGGGAGGGCATAGGATGGAAGTTTGCATAAGAGTGCAGCATGCCACACCTAATCCATCGCTTTCGTGATGTCAAGAGCAACGACATGAGCCGTACCATAAGACTGGATGAATTTAATCCACAATTGCGTAGGAGGTCCCCTGTGGATCGCTGGTGCCGGAAACCATTCTGCCTGCTGCTAATCAATCTCATTCAGATTCGGGAAGGAATAGACCTAAATGATCCTTACGTATGAATAGAGAGATTCTTAGCAGGGGTTCTTGTTCATGTTATTTTTGGATTTTTGCTGCACCTTTTTATTTCGTTTTGCGGCTTTTGTTGTTTTCTAAGTGTGGGTCCATATTGCGAGCCTAGCGCGGTTGCGACGACGGGCGCGAAGTATCAAAGATTATGAAACGCGCCTTTGCGTCCATAGTGCAGTGACTGCGGCGGAAGCCTAGGACGACGGGACTTGGCGAGACAGCACGAGTAGTTTTCAAACGTTCCTATTCTGCGCTTTCTGGCCACACTACTGTCCTAATCAGCAAACGACCAAACGCGCGGTGGCGGCGGTAACAAACCAGTTCGGTCTTGTCGCTCGGCGTATGCATGAGTATTATTGTATTGTAATGGCGGACTGTCTAGTAAAAGTACCAAATCGTCGTCCATAGTTTGGAACTTCTGATAATACGTGGAACCAGTGATTGCGTGTCACTGTGGACACCGCACGCAGCCGCGCGCCGCGCCCGCCTTAGGTCCCAGTCACCGCGCATTCAGTATGGATGCACACATAGTGTTCCTATGGTAGATAAAAGAGCAAATAAGAAGTATAAAAAGGCAGTAACTACTAGGTGGCTTCAGTTTAAATTAGATGTTCCATAGACTACCGTACTTTTCAAGATCAAACATGTTGTAGTAAGCGCATATATCATAAATACACTGACTTGCTGGAGAGCACAGTCGATATTTACTGAAGAATCTTCCAATTCAGGCAGCTGAATACGGCAAAAATAATTTTGTACACATCTGCAGATTTACACAGCTGGTGTGTCTTGCGTTCAGACCACTGGCGGATTTAGAGGGGAGGGGCGCCGCCCCCCTTAGACGTCTGACATTTGCTTTTGCAGTCTAACACCAATGTGTTACTTACTGTCACATCATCCTTCGGTATTCCAAATGCTTTTCCTCTTCGACATCACTTGTTTACAGCACAATTCTTACGATTTATACGTACCTATATACGAGTATTGCGACTTGTGACAAATCTAAGCCTGGGTAATATATTAGCTATACAGATTGCACTTAAAAAGTGATTCATGGTCTGTTTGTTGCTCAATAGTAATTTGAAAAGTGTGTAAAGCTTGACTAATTTTGTTCGGGGTTGGTGTTGCGGTGAAGCACTATGTTATATGAAGCCCTAAATTGGAAATAGGCATTTATGAGATTTGTTTAGGGGTGCACCTGTGGCCTGTCTAGAAACTGCGTCGATCGATGCTCAAATCAATACCACACGTCCCGCATATCTTCTCGCGTATGTGTCTATTTATGTTGCTATATTGAATTCGTTTAAATCACAGAGCTGCTGCACTATACGTGAATATCTACAGCCCTGTGTTCCTGTACTTGTTTAGTACAAACATACATTATCAAAATAATTACGATTTAACAGATACAGTTTTTTCCAAGGATTTCCAACATTTCTACATGCGATCAACACAGGTTCGAAAACTGAGAAAACAACTATGCCGTAAATCTTAGTTCGTCAACGAAAGTCTGAAAAATACTGTAACACGTATATTGAATCAAAAGCCCCAACCCCTACTGAGCGGGGCCGTAGCAAATGCTTGTTCCGGACGTTGTTGCATCCAGCAAACAACTTCTTCCCGTACAAGTGATTGTACACCCGTTAAGGAATACCTCAGTACCGATTGCCGGGTGGCGGTATAAGTCCGCCAACGGGCCACTTTAGGTCTATTTAATATCATTAACATGCAAAAAGTATCTGAGAAAGAACGGGGGAGTTGTGGCCTTTGTCCGCAGCAGTCTTTCCTGCTGCAGAGATGTTTCTCTGGAATCAGACCGGAAGGACATTCTGTGGCTTCGCCTCAACTCCAAAACATCCCCCATATTTATTTGCTGCCTTTATCGCTCCCCTCGGACAATAACTGGGATGACCTTGAATACCTCGCCGTCAAGATTGACTTCCTGAACATCAATCAGTCCGCTTCAGAGGTAGTTCTCCTTGGTGATTTAAATGACCATAATTTGTTTTGGTTGGACTCAAACAAGACCGATGCAGCAGGTTGTGCAGTTAAAGCGTTCGCTCTTACTCAAGGGCTGACCCAGCTGGTGACGGACCCTACTTTTTTGCCCCGTGTCTCGTCACATGCCAGAATAATGCTGGATCTCTTTCTGACCACGCACCCTGTCCCTTACAGCTCTGCTGTCCTGTCTCCCCTGGGTAACTCAGACCACTGTGTTGTGGAGGTTAGGTTTCGCTCAGAATCCGCTGTTTCAGCAGAAACTCGCACAGGCCGCAAAATTTGGCATTACTGTCATGCCGACTGGAAGGGGCTCAGAGACTTCTTCTCTACCTGTCCTTGGAGAAATGTCTGTTTCATTGACGCGGATGCGTGGGCTGTCTGTTCTTCGATAACCGAAATTATCCACGTCGGAATGGAGGAATACACGCCTAATACTGCTGATATAATAGAAGTGCTTGATTATGTCAGTATTTGCACCACTTACTTGATTTGTTTAATGGGCGGTTCAGAGTATTAATCCTTAAGCTTATTTCATACTAGTAGACCCTGTTGTGCAATTTGTCTATAGGCAGTCTGGAGACGGTCTCAAGACACGATCTATAGATGGTCTACATACATCCTTCTTTGTCTTGTCTAGCGTCCAGACGGTAATGTGAATTTTTTGGTATCATGTTCGTTCTCGCAATAAAAGACATTGTTTTGTGTGGAATGGACTGGGAAATGTCTCGGGGTCCCTCAGAATGTTTTATTTATTTTTTGTCGGTTAACAGAGCAATGAAGTTTTTTTATGTTTGAATCTTTAATATTATTACACTAGTTAATTATAAATGCCACGTACTTATTTTGTTCTCATATAATAAAATATTGGCTTTCTAAGGATTTCTGAGTAATTTCCATGTTTTCTTTTTCAAGCTGGCGTTGACCAGATAGAACATAATGGATTTAAGGAGCAATAATAGGATAAATTCTAGAAGTTCCACCGAGGTTAAAAAATGACCAGCCTCAAATATCGTTTGCTGCCTCCCCCCTAGACGAAATCCTGAATCCACCCTTGGTTCAAACCGAGTAATTCAATACTCTGTGAAACCGGGAATTCTGTAAAATGCGCCGAGTACCGTGTACAAACCGAGTACTCTGTGCTTTTCTGATGAACGTCTTACGAATCATAACGATCCAAACATTCTGTCGTCTTTCTACCATTCTTTTTCCTAGATTTTAAGCTTGTATAATCAATCTGATATTTTCTCATTTCTCTTCTCTCATAACTCGCCCCTAAAATTAAGTTTGTTCATTCTGTTTGTTATTTTTTGAGCCCATATTTTCCTGTACACGTAGATCTCAAAGGTGTCCGTGTCTGTGCTAAAAACACAACTTTCATAGAAAATAGACAATCTACTGCTGCTTTGGTGCAAAAAGCCGATGTACTAAAAGACATCATATGCTAAAGATACATACGGTAGTTTTTCAATATTGGGGAAATAAAACACTCTTTCTCAAGATATTCTTTTAATTTATCGTCAAGTATATGATTTACTCCCTTCCTTATTTCATTCTTCCACTGAGCATCTAGTATATTCTCATTGTTTACTTGAAAACACTTTATATATAGCATTTTTAATATCGTCAGCAAACACTGGAGATATATTCTAAAAATAAACCTCATACCAATGTACGATAGGCTGAAATGACATTAATCTGAACGTTTGGCAATAGTTTGTGGTTGACAGCTATGTTGAAATTTTCAATTATTTTCGCCTTATACAATACATACATAAAGCATCTGCTTTACCTTGGTCCAAGATAGTGAAGTGTCGACTGCACAAAAATAAACCCCAACCAAACAGTAGTTATAGCAAGAGAAAACACTTGGTGGAATGTCTTTATAATTCGCAAGTCGGCCTCATTGACCGTAGGAGTTTATGCATTGTAGTAGGGAAGATAATCGCAAAATGCTTGTTGCAAACTAATACCAGGCTTACAAATAAAAATAGCGATCTATGTGCGGACTGTCCTTGGTTTGGCGATTCGCTCATGGCTTTGCATGTACCGAGGCTGCTTTGCCAAAATGACAAAATTTGTAGAAAAAGCCACATTTATCTGTCTTCTCTTTGTATAACTACCGTTTGCCCGAACTGAAACTTTAAGACGTTACAACAAAACGAAAATACTACAAATTGATACATATAACCTCGGAATGCAATAACTGTCAATTGAAGGTGGACCCCGACATGGCTAATCAGCGCCAATTTTCACCCACCTTCGGGTGTGGTCCGTTGGCATTGAGCGCATTCAGAAAACTTCAGCGCTGAAACGCTTGTTAGTGTCTACTTGACAGCGGGTCAGAATTGATACCAAATTACTCGTAATACAGACAAATCAAACTTCATATCAAATGGACAGTGACTCCAAGTGCTTTAACGCTGAAATTTTCGTGAATGCTCCGAATTCCCACATATCGTCAATGATGCTGCAAATACTGCGTACCTAACTTTTTCTCAAATCGTGTAACCATACGTACAGAACCTGACTTCGTCTCGCCAGATCAGGTGAAGGCGTCGGTCAATCAAACGCTTCAAATGACACAAGACAAAACAACAATTCAGTCGACCAAAGACGTAATGATAAATGTGTGTTCACTCTGCTACAAAACTGATTACTACAAAATGACTGTATAGTATCACCGACATCTGTAATGACCAACCTCAGACCATAAAGAATAGCTACATGCCACCATGAGTTAATATTATAATAAAATTATAATAAAATATCAGGACTTGAGGTAGTATTCTAGTACTCGGTATTTTGAATCCTATTAAGGCTATTTGGCTGGTATTTAAATACTATTCCAATACATTTGTCTTTGGTATTCGACTTAATACTTTTTTAGTCAGTAATCGGTATTCTGGGTTCTGAATACCGTTTCTGAATCCCAATATTCGAATACCTACTTTGTATTCAAATCCTGGTATTAGAATCATGTATTGAAATTCTCTTTTCGAATAACCTCTATTGTTATGAATATTGCGTTACGCTTCACACAACTTGAGCATGTTAAAACACGTTCGCGATAGGCAAAGTTATTTTGTTTGTGTAGACGGTGGTGCTTCTGAATTCACGATGCCGACAGGTTGCTTAAGAAATGAGATTATATTACTTATGCACTTTTGCTTGTGCAGTATTGCCATACTATTTTATAAGAAAATTTTTAATACCCAATATAATTTGTGTGACACCTAATAAAGTAGATTTATAAAAAGGTTAGTTTATTTTTAATTACGTAGGTACATTGTGTAAGATTCAGATTATTTCTGTTTATGTTTTATTCCAGAAAAATATAATAAAAATCAAAGAATGTTTTTCATTACAATCAATTTGTCTAACCTCACTGCGGTGTCAGAATGTTATTATATGTTTTATTTATTATTTTCAATTTTTTTAAATATTTTTATAGGTACACACATTTATAGGAATCATGTTTAAAGTGAACTTTTTTTAGTTGAAATATTCAAGAAGTATTCATATTTAAATGAATCCAGGAAATCAAAACAGTGGTATTTGAATACTTTTTCCTTTGTATTCGAATACAATTTAAAATACAGTATTCAGGATTTGCATTCGAATACCGGATTTGAGTATTCGACCCAGGTCTGTCTGCAAGTCTGCCACGAGAACATGTGTTAATACATTCAGAGTTGTCTCCCAAAAAAGGCAATTCACTCGGAGCAAGTATGTGCACATCCACATTAGCTGTGAACTTTTTGTTGCCGATTTGGTCGATTTCACTTCATAGCAGAGATTTATGGGTATTCATATTACGAAACGTGTAGATTAACTTTACTTGATATATTTCACACCATTTTGATACACAATGTCAAATAAAATTAATGTTCCCTTATGCCGTTAGGTGATAACCCATAGCTCCTTAATAATCAATTAATGCCCCTCCATAATCAATAGATCCATTGGATAATTCTAAAATCTTTAATGTACCAACGAAAAGTGAAACATTACTAGTTAGAAATATGTATACGAAGGAAGGGAGTTATATGTAGACTAAATTTAGAGATAATACATGTTACTAACATCTTAACTACTTTTATCACATCCAAAGTGAAAATAATGATCACATATACACATAATCCCACCAAATCACAGCTTGAGCTGGACTTCCAAAATAAAAAAATTAGTTTGTTTAACATTCGGTTCCACCTTGATGATGAGCGCATAAACAGTGTGATTATATTATAGTGGTGAGACTTTAGTTGGAAAACAAATATCTGACTCGTAGTATTGTTTCAAAACTGGAATGAGTGACTATAGATCAAGAAATATTCTGTAGAATATATTTAAATTACTCTTTTTCACGAATTCCAAACCGCTCAGCAGTTCAGACAACGCTAATATCGAGTAAATCCATTCTCAAAACAAAAATAATATGGAAGTATAAATATAGCGATTACAGTAGCAGGTAACAATGCGTTTTTGCAAATCTGGCAATGGATAAACTTTCGTTTTGAAAAGTAACTGGACAATATAATAAATATTAAGAAACCATTGAAGTACATCACATTAGTTAAACCTCTGGTGACTCTTCTATTGTAGGTATTGGATCTCTCCAGTAGACATTCTGTGAAAAATCATTTGCCGGTTCTAACCGTGAAGGAAATAGTTGATCCACAATCACACTCATGTACGAATAGCTGTAAATAGAGAAAATTAATAGAAATACAGCTGATTTTTTTAACATGTGTTAATATAAACATTCTAGGTAGGTATATAGTACGAGTTCAATATTTATGTTATTAAAAGAACGCATATAAAAACCTTTTCACACAAAAACAGAAGCGTATACAGTAGACATATTTTTTTACTATACACATGGTATTCAACGAAATCACGCGAACGAAAAAATTCACTACTCATATACTGAAATAGGTAATTCTCAATGGTTTTGACTTTGTTTGTCACTCTCACGGTCAATGATGATATACTTTTTCTTAATAGTGTGATCAAAAATATATAATAATATGAGAGTTATTGGAGTTTGACGAAAAATAAGTTTCTGTGGGATATAAACGTAATAATACCTGTCCAATAACTTGGGTACCGGGATATTATTGTTTTATGTTCTTGAGAACCCTAGCACAGAAAAAATATAATCAATGGCCGCAAGAAAAATAACACTAACACTACCCAGTGCCCTTCTCCTGGTTTTGTAACAGAGTTCGCCACTAATTTTTCCATTTTACCATATTCAGTTTTTCCAAGGAGTGTCAATTTAATGCTTTTTTTTCCTAGAAAAATATCCAAATATAAACCAAACATAAGAGCATTTTTGGTATGTTTTTCGAATATGCAATTACTGTCGTACATCTTATTTTTTGCGTATTGCACAACGTTTGCCAAATATTTTCCAATTAAAGCATATGTTCGAAATACTATATACATATACGTGTATTTTAGGAGAAATATATTTATGTCCTTGCTATGTTCGTACTAATTGTATAGAAAATCAACTGGATTCCAAGAGTATTTCGCTAATTGCACTTAAAATTGGTAAAACAATGTTAGTGACGTTATATAAACCCATATGAGCCTTGCAGTAACATAACACCATGTGAATATGCACTCATAAAATTAGTAAAATTAGTATTTCCACAAAACACTCATTCAAACGGCATCGCTTTTTATCCACCAAAATCAATTCTTATACCATAGAATCACAAGTATATACTCGTAATAGAGTATTTTCCGATATGTTTTTTACCGATTTTTTTTGATAATCCTGCGTATTATGATTCTACATGCATCAATTACCCCAAGCAAAAAACTCCAAACAAATCTTACCCAAAAGAAATATACATAGCATACTGATGCGTGAAATTTGTCCATTGGTTTGTGTGCCTTTTACTGTGTGAATGGGTGAGGGTAGAAATCAAACCATACGAGAATTAAATGAAAATACTAATATTATATAATCCTCGCAACATTTCACTTATCCTTAGGTTACAAACAATCTGTTTATAAAATAAAATTGTATAACGATCAATAAAATTATATAAAATAAAATCAAAACTTATACATATATATAGAAGTAAAACTTAATTGTTCTTTATTTCAGCCCTAGTCATTTTATATTTTGAAAGTAGACGTAGAACTGTCTATTCGTGGAAATAAGTTTAACCAAATGATTTTTAGCCATCATCATAAGCATTTTCACTTTTTTTGAAGTAAGTATGTATACCAATGACTTATACTAACGTGTGTCCTTGAAGATTTGGCACAAAATATTTATCGGCTTTTTTTAATGAAGAAATTTATTCAAGCACTAACTAGTTATCATAATGTACATCTCAATACTTTACTAAACTATACTATCGAATTATGAGGAGTGGCTATTCTGCTCTACCAGATGCAACTTTCTTCGAATGTCTCAGTTTTTCGTAAATTCACCGTCTTATGGTTTGTTCGTACAGTCTGTTTGCTGACAATCAGCAAAGTGATAGTCAGTCACAAGTCATGACCTAGTTTACGCCGTTAGCTGTCACTGACACGTCGCTGACTGTATTAATTGCGTACATGAGAACGTTACGAGTTGGCTGAGGGAGGTCAGACCGATAACCGACAACTAATCCGCTGTTCGTCCGCACTTTTGACTGTTTGATGACTGTCAAATCAGTCAGCAAATAATTTTCCAGTAAATTGTCTGAGCTCGAAATCAAGTAATATAATTATTCGAATGTAAAATTTTTAACGAAGTAGACAATTTTGAAAAAGTTGGGGGTTCATTTGCTGTAAACCAGAATAATCTAGGATTTTTCGTCCAACTGTCCAAATGTGCCTGAATTTTCATTTAGAGAGGAAAACATGGACACTTTCTAGAAAAAATAACAGCACCCAAAAAGGTCAAGTAGGTTTACTCAGTAATTACCATTCAATTCTCATATATAAAGTATAAACATAAATTCGAAGAATTATGAATCCACACATCGTTGAAGAAGTAAATACATAGTAAGAATTCTGAATAAACGTCTGCAGTGATTATGCATGAGCAATGTACAAATTATTGTAAATGACTTTTAAAAAAACTCGGATAGTAGGGTTTTTGTTCCCTGTTCCCTTGTCGCCCAGCCTCGAAGTGTATGCACAAACAGTATTTATATATATATATATTCTAGCTATGTAAGTCCAACCCAAAGCTGATGAAAAAATAAACAAAATAACGGATTCTGGAGATTTTTTGATACAGCTTTTTCTCACGGGTGCCCACGGAGAGTGACTGTTTGTGCTGGGGTAAAAATAATATTTTCCATATACAGGGTATTTTAAATTCGACCCTCACCATTGGGATCTCGGAAACTTCAAGGGATACGAAGTCACTTAGTTGCCTATTCAGATAATCATCAAAATGTCGCTGAGAAAGTTTTGAAATTGAAAATACTTCCGAAAAGAGATGTAAAAACGAAAGTTCCCAAAATGGTTTTAATTTTCTCCTGACTTTATTTGTGGTGTGATTTCAAAATAAATTGCACATAAACTCTGCCACATGTTCTCCTCTACAAGATGACACAATTAAAAATTCAATGTGACGTTTCGTCTCTTGTCCTCCAGCATCAATTTAATTTCTTCTTATAGACGCCATACTGGATTCTTAAACACATGAATAGAATTTTTATTCTGATTTAAAAAATGTATGTCATACATTGACATTGCAAAACCTTAGTTATTCCAGAAGTTCCTATTTAGGCCCTGAAATTATTAGATTTCATTTGTTTGCATAGCAACAGAGTTTGGAAGACTGTGAATAGCTCTGCTTATTTATGGTTATTATTGTTATTACCATCAATAAAATTTTCATTTCGTATTCAGGTTTCACCATATCTATTTATTTCCTTTTAATTTTCATCCAACACCAAATTTATGGTCAACTAACAATCACTGAATTTAGGGCTTATAAAGTCGATTTAAATGTACAAAATTCCAATATAGAGTCCGCATGAAAAAACAAAATTGATGATGAAAGTCGAAAGAAGAAATGTCGAATTGAAAATTTGACTACGCCATCTTGCAGACGAGAATAAGTAACAATGAAAATATGCAATTTATTTTGAAATCCCATCTCGAATAGAGTCGGGAAAAAATAGAGCGGTTTTGGTATAAATCTGATGAGCGAAACAAACATCTGATAATTTCAAGGTCTACCTAAGAAATTCTGTTTTTCTTAAAGTAATCAAGGTTTGACGACGTCAATTTATGACGTACATATTATGCATTTTTTTAATCAAAATTGAAAACTCTGTTCATCTGTGCAAAAAACAGTATAGCGTCCTTAAGAAATAATAAAGTTGATGCTCAAGGACAAGAGACGAACCGTCATCGTCATATAGAAATTCTGATTATGCCTTCTTGTATAGGAGAAAACGTGGCACTGTTAATGTGCAATTTATTTTAAAATCCCAATATAAATAAAGTCAGGAAAAAATCAGAACAATTTTGGGAAAATTCAGTTTTTCCGTTACTCTACGGAAGTACTTTGAATTTCGAAACCTTCTAAGTATCACTTTGTTGACTATCGTTTAAGCGACTTCGTATCTCTTAAAGTTTCCAAGATCCCAATGGTGAGTGCCAAATTAGAAACACTCTGTATATGCACACTCTTACTAGGAGAAAGAAGTGAAAGTACAAGTATTTAATAACGTCTTATACACTAAAAAGCTAAAACGGCTGAACATAACTACTGTTGTACAATTACCAAGATCTGCTGACATAGCTATAAGTTTCAGAGGGTTCTCAACATGGACAAAAAGAACTGAGACTACGAAAATACATAGAAGTAAGACTTAAATAGCGTAATTACGCATTTTGCAACTGTAACAAAAATTTTCAAAAGATTAGTGATTACAAAAATCGTATTAATTATGGTTCTTGAAAGTTATGTCCTTTATTCTTGGGAGTTTTCATAATATATTCATAATTTTCATTTTGCCCCTACCGGGTCAATAAACAAAATATTGAGCACACAGCACTTTGGCGCTGGTTCATATTTAAAATGGAATTATATTAAAATTTCTTCTGCCACTTGCTCACCTGAAAATGTTACAAAAACTTGTTTCTGTTGAATTGTGGCACTGTTTTCTTTAGAAAATTAAGGTTTTCGAGTTTCAGTTTTTTTTACACCGAAGCAGCCGCGCAGATGAACCCTACATGCCAAGGCACCGCGGCTGCTTTCAGGAACTTGAGGAAACTTTGTTATTCACATTTTTGAACTGCCTAAAGTTAGTAGAACTGGGAAAATCTCCTCATGTAGATTGTTCCACGATCTCGACACCGTCGGGACAAAGGACCGTTGGTACGAAGGTGTCCTTCGACCGTCCATTAGAGAAAAGTTCATTAAATGCCTCTTGCGAAGCAATTTTAGCCCTCAAGATAGTTCCGACACACTCTGATACCTGTCACTGTCACTGGTTGACTGGTGTCCTCTGATCTGTCAGAAGGTTCTGTACGAACAGGGGATTAACTGTCGGCAAACAGTCAGAAACTGTACGAACATGTAAAATCTCTCTGATTCTGATTTCGACAGTCACTGACAAGTTACCGACTACTGTACGAACAAACCATTAATCGTTATTCATCTTAGGCTTTGCCTCCATGATAAAGCTTCCTAAACAGTAAAGCCCAAAAATCGTCTATCGGGCAGGCCTGCAGCCGTTTTTGGAAACAGAATATATAATCGTGTTGTCGAAGCCAGTTTTGGGAATCTCGAGTAATAGCATGACGCTTGGTCTGGCCTAAACATGATATGGTCATTAGCGTGATGCTCGTAGACAAACTGAATCAATTTGGAAAGGCAGTAATCAACATAGCTCTGACTATTCACTCTTCGCACATAAGGTGAGATACACCCCTGTTAGAAATTGCGCACCAGACAAGGATTTTATCTGCAAATTTCACTTTATGTTTTACCTAACATTGTCAAAGCATTCCTCTACGTTGTCCATATAAAATCCGTCGTTTCCCTTCATTTCAGAGTTACTCAAAGTGAAATACTTTTCGCAATCTAAAATAATGATTTTTCCATTGGCAAAGTGTACCCATCTCAATTAAATTAAAGCCAATGAATTGTGTACCAAATCTATCAAGACATACGTTAGTAGTTATTTTATAGAAAATTTAACTAATGTGCAAGGTGTTTCACCATATGTACAGTGGACATACGCAAGTGCATTCAACAGGTTCATTCGATTATATCCATTTACTGCTGCTCTGGTGTATTAAATTAATAACCAGTATATTGGGCGAATATCAATTTTAGTTAATTAAAAAATGTATTCTGATACTCCTATCCAAATGAACTCGATATTTTCATACTAATGGAAATTTATACATCACGATATTAACCGCGTGTGTCCGTTAGATGGCTGAACAACGCTTTGTTATTCATAATCACGTCTGTTGGATACCCCTTGAAATGAATCAAGAAACCATTTGGTTATAAATGATTTCCTCATTTTTCAATATCATTGCCTTTAAATATAAAAATAATTTCTTTACTTGAAATCCATGATACTCGACTATACAAACTAAAAACTTTTCAATACTATGCCATCACAGTTTTTGTTATAACAATACTCGTTTAAATTTAAAATTTAAAAGACCTAATTTTATATTGACGAAGATTCAGAATCTGAATCTCCATCATATGCATGCTTATATGTTTCTTCATTTTCTTTAATTTTATGCCATAAAGGGGGGAACACCTCGTCTACTACCAAAGATTGGCTGGTATAGCTGTAAAAAGCGAAACCCTAAATCAGTAACCTTATTTTTATTTGTCAGAAATAACGATAACCGTACGGATTTGACGAGTTGAAAAAATCAAATATCTTTACTGCTTACCATATTATAACTATGTTGTGATTGCAGAACTGAAATAATAGGTTTTTGAGGTCTATCACCGCGTAATTAACCGCGCAAGCTATTTTGGTAAATTTTGATAGTAGCAGTGTAGTAGTTACATAAAATTGACTTATGGTAGGTACTGTTTGACAAATCCATCGTGAGCCGTAAAATACCCACAGGAAGGAGATAATAGAGAGATAGATAACAGAGATTCGCTGATATAGAAGTACATCATTTCCCTTCAGTCATTTTGAAGATGTTTGACATTCACAGACCTCGCTGATTTTGCCAAATAACAATTCCGTAATAATATCTATTTAATGGATGCAATTGATGGTGTGTGTGTTTCTAGAGTAATAATCAAACACTAGCGAGGAAGTACTGTAAGCACAAAAAAAAATCGAAAATGAGATACCTTTTTTAATGTTATATGACATGTGAATCACGATAAACCACGTCACTCATTTCCGTTGATTTGTCTTTTTGTAACAGAATATTCTATCTACCGAAGGAATGCAGGGGAAATGACTGCACGCGGGAAACAGTGATGTCAGACATTGTGCATAAAATATGGTTATTCGGCTGTAATTGGGATTATACTCATTAAAAACATTACTGAACACATGAAAAACATCTCTACACGACATACAGGGTTATCCAAATTAAGTGTCCACCATTAGTAACTTTGTTATTAGTGAAAATACAAAGTTGTTTGAATTAGCAAACTAGTAGCATTTTTAACGCTGGTAAAAATGAGAAATAAAAAAAACAATTGAGAGTCGTTATTTTGATTTTTTTCAGTAAAATAACATTTTTTTAAATGGAAACCCCTGTATATTATATTTTTTTCTGTCAGATCAAATTTTAAACAAAAAAGTTCATAATGACTTTTCCGCTAAAGTCAAAAATAAAGTCAAAATAACGATAAATATTTTTAATTATTTGCAGTATTATAATATTAAGACGGCTATGAAAACAACATGGCGTTCGCGATTTGACAGCATTAAGATAAGCGACAAATTGTTAAACTGGACATACTCGCAACTAGAAGGCTTTGGAAAACAATGATAAAATCAAATAATGTCAAACATTAGTGTAAATACTTGTTTATAAGCTTTATTGTGTCATTAATTTAAAGAAAAATGTTCTCCCATGAAGAAAAGTGTGATATGTTAGAATGCTATTTAGTGTGCAGAAAATCCTCCTTGAGAGCAAGAGAATACTACAGTGAATTATATCCCGCTCGCATTCAACCGTATGAACGATATTTTCTGAGACTTTATCGAAAATTTAGAGGCAACGAAAATGTTTTTGCTAAAACAAGGGCAAAAAAAGAATTCATAATAAGCGAGGCCACGGAAATTGCAGTTATTGGATATTTTGAAGCTTATCGTGAGAATTCAATAGCAGATATTCTCAAGGACTCTAATTTCAGTTATGGTACTGTTCAAAGGATTTTAAAAAAATACAAATTTATTCCGTATAAGTACCGACCAGTTCAAACGCTTTTGGCAGGGGATCCAGAGAGAAGACTTGTTTTTTGCCATTGGTATCTTAGCTTCTGTCGCCAAAATGTAAATAACTTTCGTTACCTTTTATGGACAGATGAATCAAATTTTTCAAATTCTGGAATGTTTAATAGAAAAAACCACCATTATTGGTCAAGAGAAAATCTTTTGTTAGTACATCCAAGAGGCCCACAAGTCCGTTTCAGTTTCAACGTTTGGTGCGGTATAATTGGTTCAAAAATTGTTGGCCCGTTCTTTTATGAGGGAACCCTAACTGGTGAAAGATATGTGGAATTTATGTCAGAAATTCTGACTAATTTCTTAGACGAATTGGATCTTATAAGTAGACATCATCTGCATTTTCAGCAAGATGGCGCACCTGCCCACAACTCCAGAGGTACTTATCATTTTCTAAGTACTACTTTTAATGATCAGTGGATAGGAACAAATGGCCCAATACAGTGGCCTCCCAGATCACCAGATCTAAACCCACTTGATTACTTCTTGTGGGGTTACTTAAAGAACCAAATTTACAAGCGAAGGTACGATAACCTTGACGCGTTAAAGACTGCAGTTAGGGAAAAGATAACCCAGATAGATGGTAGGACCATACTTAAGACAGTTCGAGCAGTTGAAAAACGTGCCCAAAAATGTATTGAAGAACAAGGTGGTGTTTTCGAGCATCTTCTTTAAAAAAAATTGTTATTGTATTTTGTAAGATTATAAGTTGATGTTGAAAATAAAGTTTGTCGATACAATTTAATTGTTTCAGATTGGAGGCCATAACTTCAACAATTTGTAACCTAGGAGAAAAGTTATTGTAAGCTTTTTTGTTTAAAATTTGATGCTTTAACAGAAAAAAATATAATATACAGGGGTTTCCATTTAAAAAATGTTATTTTACTGAAAAAAATCAAAATAACGACTCTCAATTGTTTTTTTTTTTATTTCTCATTTTTACCAGCGTTAAAAATGCTACTAGTTTGCTAATTCAAACAACTTTGTATTTTCACTAATAACAAAGTTACTAATGGTGGACACTTAATTTGGATAACCCTGTATACTCATTCAATTATTGCATCATTTTTCATTTCAATTGAGCTAGAAACGTTCTATTATGACTGCCAATCGCATTCAGTCAGAACAATCATGAGCACTCGGTCGCCGCTTCTTTTCGCCTAGGCAATTATGGCCCGCTGGCCAACGGGAGCGAGCGAATTTGAACGTCACACACTAGTGTTTATTTTGACGGGGCGTAAATAGAATTTGGATGCATAATAGTGAGGAACACAACTAAGAGAAAGGATCGACCGCAGCGACAGTTTCGCTTAAATGGATTACTAGAGCTTTAGCTAGGCAATGCACGTAGGTAGCTGCTAGAAGTAGGTGATGCCATGGGCGCCCACAGGGGGGGAGATGGGTCGTACAAGGTAGTGTACACAGGTTGGACGTATGTTTCCGAACTCATTCTTTTTGTTTAGATTCTGAAAATTTCATAAGAAGATATGTCGAGAAGTGTTCCGTTTTCAAAACATGTGTCCAATATGTTCCCAAAAGTTGTTTCTATCAAATATTCCGAAATTTGTTTCTTTATTACTGGCTGTTTGGAAATTTTTCAGAAAATAAGAAAAGGGCGCTAAAAGTGAAGAAGTATGCTTGATGAAACACAGTATCCAATTCGTACTTGAATAAATCAAAGAAATACGGGTTCGGGTTCCACTAAATGCTAAAAATAACTCAAATCTGATCAGGTAGCAAGCATACAAATGATATTACGAAATGATGTAGAAATAAACGCCGTATGTGCAATAGTTCACTGGCAGCTACTTGAAAGTCCTAAAAATCGTCGATAGGAATCGTACTACAAATTGGAAAAATCGCCACAGTATTTGTTATGCTATATCAAAATACTGTTCAAACAATATATGATTTATTACTATCAGCTATGGTACCAGCAAACATGTATATTGCCTATACTCCTTCATTTATATTTGAAAAGCAAAGCAATGAAACGAAGAATGCATGCTGCTTCAACATTGTGTGATACTAGTACAAAGCTCATAATAATGTAGGAACTCAATGAATGAGTGAGAGTTTGGCTATTTCATTTTGTATATGTGCGTGTATACGAAAAATCGGGGATTAAATTGAGTTATGAATTTATTATTGATTTATAATAAAAAATAATATCTTACCTTGACTGGAAAGTTTGAGTTAACTCATGTTTGAGTTCACCTTTAGGATTGATGGTGAATATCCTAACTATAGGTATTCCTACCGCTCTATAAGCCCAGACATCCTATATTTTACAGACAAAAATCATAATGTTAAATCCACAAAAGTACCAAGCATAAAGCATATAGGATTTGACCACTGGTCAAATTTAATGAAAATGTGCATAGTGATACTTCATGTTGTGTTGATCAAATGTTCCAATGGGCGCAAAGCCCAGAAATGCTTCCTATTGGAAATACAGGGTGTCAGGGTGGTGGCTTAGCCCCTGTGGGTACGCCTGCCTGCATCAACTAACGTCTTTAATTTGTACCCAGGGAGAGTGTTTCAAATTCGACTCTCATCATTGCGATCTCTGACACTTAAATATACGACGTCGCGTCGGTTAAATGTGGGCCAAATTGAGCATTCAGATAACTAAGAAAATGTCACTGAATTATTTCAAAAAGCTAATATTTTATTCAGTTGGTCTTGAAAATGGCAGTTTATAGCAGGTTTAATCGACTAAATCACAAATGCTTCGGTTTTTGAGGAGCGACTTTGAATGACGTGCAGATAATTTGTCCATTTATCGACTATAACAGGCGTTATTTTAACAATGGAAAAGCTCTGCATGCCACCTCAGCAGTAGAATAATGTTACTTGAATGCAAGATGTGTGCATCGGTTTAGATATGGCAGATATGAAATGTATTGAAGAAGATGCAACACCTTCCAGGCTTTTATTTACTCTAACATATTTCTATCAAGCATATAAATAATATAGTTTTTAAAGTTCTCAATACTAACCTTAAATAACATGAAAACGTTTTTCAATCAATGATTTAAAACAGGAAAACTATTTTTTAGACCTTTGAACTTGTATAATATCAATCCATGTCACGATATTTTTTATAATTATTGTAATATTAAAATCGGCAATAGTGACTGTTCATCCACGGCTGTTAATAAAAACTGAAGGACTGCTTGGCTGATATGAAATAAATACCTGGCGATTTCAAGGCCAACCTATAAAATTCAGTTTTTTTACAGGACTAAGGTTCGCCAATGTCAAGACATAATTATCAACAGAAAAAAAGTAACGATTGAGGACAAGAAACGAAACGTCATATTGAAATCCTAATTATGCCACCTTGTAGAGGAGAAAAACTGGCAACATTAATGAACGATTTATTATGAAATCCTACCCCATATAAATTTTATATATATATATATATATATATATATATATATAATTTATTTTGTTTTTCTCCGGATATACCCCAGGAAGTTGTGGAAGTGCAATTTTCTTAGTTACCTAAATGCTCAACTTTGTCACCATTCAACCGCTTCGTATCTTTAAATGGTGTAGGCAGGCGTACCTACAGAGTAAATGCCGTCTGCCACGATACGAAATTTTGTGTTAAATTTAGTACGCTAAATTTCGTCCAAAATTAAGGATAGTGTCAGACAGCATTTAGTACATAATTTTGTATTAACAAATTTAGTGCTTAATATTGTAGAACCTGTTCTGAATAATATACTAAAAGTGTGCAGACTACTGTGCATTTGGAGCAGTACAATGGTTGATAGAAGCGCTACGTGACAAGAAATTATATGTTTTGTGTTAACTCCTTGAGGTTTTGTGATGATTAGATGATATGATAATTGGTTGACAAATACACGCCTAACCTCAAACATTTTCATTAGATGATATCAGTTGTGTTCATCACTTTCTCTGTTTCTCCTCTCGTTAAGATGTTCTGCTTATAGATTGAAAACAAACTTAAAAGATGACATGATCAAAAGAGCAGTGGACATACTAGTAAAAAGTATGAGAAATGTGATTGTTTATATACTGTAAAAAGCAAGGCCTATAAAAACAAAAAAATCCAAATAAACTGCGTTGGATAAAATCAGAATGACTTTAGAACCAAGTTCTTTATTCAGCATGCCATGGTCCCTCTCCCTGATCCATTTTCGGCACTAAATTCTTTTACTGTTTCGTTTACTTCATTTTCTTATAAGGTGGGCAGTTACAACGCAAATCGCCGCTGGCGCAGGTACATATAATATATGCAAATTATGTGATCGCTCCCATCAAGCCGCAAAGTAAAGTATGGTTCGAATCACTTTGACGTGATGAATAGCAGTTATAGTTTTTTTAAATTGTGCATGATTCCGTACTGAATTTAGTACAAATATTTATTTACGTGTCAGACAGAATTGTAATTGGTGAGCAAATTGGGAACTAAATTCAGTAACGAATTTTCACGAAATTTGGTACCAAATTATGAACAACATTTTGTATCGTGGCAGACGGCCCCAAAGCTCCAATCTTGGAAACCCTATATCTCAAATAGAAAGTATTTTTGAGCTCTGCGTAGGATGTAGAATTAATTTAAAAATTGTGAAACACGTTCTCAGTACTGCAGTATTTGTCGTTTAGTGTGTGGGTTCCATTGAAAAGGCAAGAATTCCATCAATTTGAGAAATGTTAATAAAATGTGGTTAACCAAGTAATTCAAATAAAATCTGATCAAATTTGCTAGAGAACTATTAATATTGTATTTGGAAATGGTTCAATGATAACGTAATGCATAGAATTATGAGCTACCATAACGCAAAAATAACAGCTAAGTTGCAACATACTTACGTTGATTCTATTACCGTATCCAGCATAAAATGGATTAGAATCAAGTGGAAAGAGAGCCTTGATGTCTGACATGCAAGATATCTTGAACTGTTCAGGTTTTTTCTCAATAACCTCCCTAAAATGATATTAGATAAACCAGATTTTCTCCGACTAATGTCAACGATATTTTGAGGACAGAATAGCCCATAAAGCGGAAACCGAAAATATCAATATAGCGGCATTTAGGGTGATTTAACAGTTTATCTAAAATGTGGACACAAAACAGTAACGTTTCGGATTATTTAGTTATCTGCATGGATGCATTACATTTTATCACATGAATGAATACAACCTTGTCATAAAGCAAACGCAATTTATTAGTAAGGACCGTATCGTCATTCCTACAACTGTAGAACGCATTTATGACCTTGATTTCCATAATATCTTCACTACTTCAGCTAGGTACTTGTGTGACTGCTTTAGATTTCTAGCGAGCCGACAATTCTGATGCTAGGTTATGTTTTTATTCTGATGTTTAAGAAATTTTAGACAGATGAATGATATTTTCTTGCAAATAATGTTGATCAGTCAATAATAATTCCCTACACTGAACAATTCCTCAAGCTGGTATTAGTAATCTAAAAATGAACAATTTAATGCAATTATATGTGTATTTATACAGGGTTACAGGAAAAGTCGTGCTAGATCCGTTAAGGGCGTGTAGTACCCATCATTTCTGACTTATTTCATTATGAAACACCCTACCCTAAACTTAACCCTTTTCGAGATATTCAACTTTTAATGTTTTTATTGAAAATTGCCGATTTTTAGGCTACTAAATGTATTTATTTTTATTTTGTGTGTGTTATTATTACTATTATTGCATTTTAACATGTGTAATAAGATGCTTTAGGACGTCAATCATTAAAATAGTCCATAAGTTAATTGAATAGGCCGTAGTAGATAAGTGAATGTTAAGAAATTGAAAAAAATATCAGAAAGTTTATTTTTCTCGAAGGGATATCTAAAAAAAATATTATGGCAATTGTTCGGCAGATGTGTTTTAAAATATCTATGTTTTATCAGCTATCTAACGAGGTATAACAATCTAGGATTTGTATTACATTTCGTAGAAAAAAAGTAGTTGGGACGCTCCAGTAGCAGTTCCCACGCCTATTCTCCTTCAAGTTTAGACGCACCGTGCGAGCGAGACATGACGATTTAATGTGGGTGCGAATGAAAGAAAACATATTATAATAACCGGTTAGGGCTGGAAATCCAACACGGGATGTTGTTTTGGTTGTCAGTCTGCTTTTGTGCTTCGTACATAGTAGATGTGATATCGTTTTGCTCTTTTCCTCGACTTGGCTACGATTCTGGACTATTTCTTCTGATTTGTGAATACTGTGCTTGTTCACTGGACTATGATTTGTACTTGTGATACGGAAGTGTTGAAGATGACGTCCTACACACCTGAGGAATATGCTGATATGCTTATTTGTTACGGATACTGCGATTGTGTATCTGCGCAAGCTCGCAACGAATACAGAACTCGCTTCCCCGGTCGTCGAGTGCCGGATGTGGCCGTTTTTAACAGAGTTTATCTAAGACTTCGAGAAACTGGCTCTGTTTTGAGACGAAATACAGACCTGGGAAGACCACGAATTTATGACAACGAAGAACTGCAGGACAATGAGATAGTGCAACGCTTTCGAGCGGATCCGACCATTTCCACTAATCGTGTTGCCCGTGATCTGGGACTTTCGCAATGGAGAGTGTGGTTTACAGTGCATACTGCTGGCCTATACCCGTACCATTACACGCCGGTACACACTATTGAAGAAGGAGACCCCGCGAGAAGGTTGGACTTCAGCAGATTTATGCTAAATGCTGACGTAGAAGACCCAGATTTTCTAAGAAATATCTTATGGACAGATGAATCCAAATTTGATAACGATGGCATAACTAACTATCACAACGCCCATTACTGGGCCCCAAAAGTACTAAGGAATCCCAATAAGAAAAGAGTGGCGAGGTCCCAACGAAGATTCAGCGTGAATGTGTGGATGGGCATTATCTCCAACCATTTGATTGGACCTTACTTTCTCCCGGACAATCTAAATGGGGAAAATTACGAAAACTTCTTGAGAGGAGACTTCAGAGATTTGCTGGATGATCTGCCACTCAACTTGAGAAGGGACATGTGGTTCCAACATGATGGCTGCCCTGCCCATTTCAGGAGAAGTGTCAGAGACTGGCTGGACACAAATTATCCAAACAAATGGATAGGACGAGGTGGGCCGTTGCCATGGCCAGCAAGAAGTCCGGACCTAACCCCCATGGATTTTCATGTGTGGGGGTGCATGAAAAGTCTTGTCTACAGCGAACCAAATCCAGTTTCGTCTGTGGAAGAATTAAGAGAAAGGATTGTCGATGCAGCAAATCAACTAAGGACAACGTTGACCACTGCAGTTGTAAAGACTGGTCTCCGTAAAAGGATGCGACAATGTATTAGAAACAGAGGCAGCCATGTTGAACATGAACTGTAGAGTAAGAAAAAGTTGTGTGAAAACCTGATTTAATAAATGATATTTCATGCTTACCTATTGTTTTATTTTACTTTTTAGGGCTAAGTATCAATTTTCTTCTCCACTGTCGCCTATGAAACTAAGTTTTTTCAATGCATTTAAATAAAATCCTAGATTGTTATACCTCGTTAGATAGCTGATAAAACATAGATATTTTAAAACACATCTGCCGAACAATTGCCATAATATTTTTTTTAGATATCCCTTAGAGAAAAATAAACTTTCTGATATTTTTTTCAATTTCTTAACATTCACTTATCTACTACGGCCTATTCAATTAACTTATGGACTATTTTAATGATTGACGTCCTAAAGCATCTTATTACACAAACATGTTAAAATGCAATAATAGTAATAATAACACACACAAAATAAAAATAAATACATTTAGTAGCCTAAAAATCGGCAATTTTCAATAAAAACATTAAAAGTTGAATATCTCGAAAAGGGTTAAGTTTAGGGTAGGGTGTTTCATAATGAAATAAGTCAGAAATGATGGGTACTACACGCCCTTAACGGATCTAGCACGACTTTTCCTGTAACCCTGTATATAAAAGCCCAACAGCCAAGCTGTTCCCTTGATGGTTGTAGGTAAGTTACAAAATTAATCATTGCATATTCATATTTATATACTTATCGCATTTTTTTGAGAAGTGATTCATTCTCACAGACTTTATGAGATGTTGGATAAGAAACATTGTATCCCAAGTCCAACTGAATTGTTGATGTCGCAGATGCCTGTTCACAAATCATTGTTTTACTTAGGATTGCGTGTCGGGCTACAAGTATGCTCTGAGATTGAGTTTAAACGTGATCTCCTACCCTATCTGATATTTTTTCATACTAGTGGGAACCTTAACCTAAAAATATGAGACTATAACTCTAAAAAATATTATAAGGTTGCAGCCCACGCCAAGGTGTAAAATTTTTCTGGAATTGATGCATCTTTTTTGCAGATATAAACCATCCTGATGTTGCATACAAAATTCAGTAAAATTCTATTTTGGAAGGATAAGGAGGTGAATGATCTTTCTAAGAAGGGATAGCATATTTGAAGGATCCAATCTTAGACCCGTATCGTCAGTCGTTCCTACAATTGTAGGATGCCTTTACGGCCTCATTGATTTCGATAATATTATGTCTTCTTCTAAAAGGTACTTGTATGTCATGCTATAGATTTCCGGCATGCTGGCAGTTCTGGCTAGAGGTTATGTTGTTGTTTTGACGTTTAAGAAATATTTATATGTCGATCAGTCAATAGTCAATAATACTTCGCTACATTGAACAAATTCCACATCTTCAAGAAATTTTTGGGTTAGGAAATTTAATGCACATGGATATATTATATTATAATATTATATTTGTATGTATAAAAGTCCAGAAGCTTACAACCAAGCTATTCTGTTGATGAAGGCAGGTAAGTTACAAAACAAATAATTGTGGTAGTCAGTGTTTTTTTTTTATTCAAAACACCATAGTCCTTCCTTCACGAAGCCATCTACACTCCCGATGTGGCAAATAATGAGCCTTTTTCCTTTGCCTATAAAGAGTAAAGTTGTTAAATACATTATATGTCTTTCACAAGAGTACTGAGGCCACGGAGATAGGGACACATTTCTGTATTTTATATACGATGCTATATTGTTTCTCATGATAACGGGATGCATGCGGTGAGATATATCGGACACTTCAACCTATGCATCATTTAATCTGTTGATGAATCTGGTTAGCTTAAAAAACAAAAAGAAACAGGCAACATCAATTAAACTAAAAAATTATCAAGCGTGACAAACTTATCGAAAAATTTACAAATCAACGCAATGTCTGACGTTGTTAATTAACGTGTTACATTCCGTGACGGACGAGGTATGCTGTCTCTGCAACGCTCGCATTGCTGTAAAAAATCATCTTGTCATCGATACCATAAGAATTCCAACGTAGAATACATTGATTTCCAGAGTGAACATCCCCTCGTTTTTTCTAGATATCTGATAACGTGTAATGCCTCATTTAAATCACTTTGGCTATGAAAAATTATCCAATAACTATTGTTGGATTTTCTAAAATGGAATGTCTGCATTATCTGTAGGGTTTTTAAGCCCAGTTGAAAGCCCACCTAAAAACGCTCTTCTTGCTGACGTTACTGTTTGGTCCACACAAACTTTTGATTTTGTATGGCCAGCATTTATCCACGTCTCGTCCAGGAAGTAAATTCTACGGTTTTGGCTCCTGTATGTTTTTATTTTTGTCAAATACTCTCTCCTCCATAGTATAATTTCATCTCTATCCATCAATGAACTTTTTCGGCCTCTCTTCTGCCAATTGAAGTTGAGTTCCTTTAATAGCCTGTAGAACGTCGTTTTACTAAAATTCGGCAAATCTGAGTCTTCATTCACTACTTTCAAAATCTTATCAATTGTAGGAATTTCATTCTGGAAAAAGAATTCATGAACCTTCCTTCTGATTGCATGTCTGTCAGCATCATCTATTTCTTTAATTTGGCTTTTACGGTTCTGCTTCGTTTTAGGTTCAGCAAATGCATTCCGTA